CATATATATATACATATATATATACATATATATATACATATATATATACATATATATATACATATATATATACATTTATATATACATATATATATACATATATATATACATATATATATACATATATATATATATATTATATATACATATATATATATACATATATATATATACATATATATATATATATATATACATATATATATACATATATATATACATATATATATATACATATATATATATACATATATATATATACATATATATATATATACATATATATATACATATATACATACATATATATAAATGTACATAAATATATATAAACATATAAATATAAATCTGTATATTTAAATATAAATAGGTATGTATATATATATATATATATATATATATATATATATATATATATATATATATATATATATATATATATATATATATATATATATATATATATATATATATATATATATATATATATATATATATATATATATATATATAAGTTTTACCAGAAGCATTTGTACATACTAAATGATTTGGCTTATAATAGGTAAATAATGAAGCTAAATACATATTTAACAAGTGATTATGAGAACATATGTTCATCAGCATATTTATAGAACAAATATATTTCTGTAACTACATACTCTAACAATGGAAACCTGCTGAAAATCACCAACTGATGCTTCATACTTTAACTTATGCTAATATTTCCCTTCCAATAAAAGATCTCTAAAGCCCAATAAAAACATGAATTTATTCAAAGTGCTCAACAACAATTGTGGAATGGTGTTAATATTCCCATACAGTCTTTCACAAAAAAATGCTCAAACATTAAAAAAACACATTTCTACATTCAAACTCCTTTACTGGAGAAGCATGACATGTTGAGGTAAACATTTTTTACATCTGATATATACCGGTAATGAAATTAATTAATCCAAATATATATCACATAATTTATTGTTAATGTAGTTTTGTGAGGCAGTTATTTAAGATCTGCTTTAGTAGAAAAAATAAAAATCCAGAATAAAGACTTGCAATATAAATGATATAAAAAAAAAATGGGCCTCCAGGGTTATCATAAACATGTATCATATATGCACTAAATGTAATCAACTTTATCAGTGCCTGCTGACATTAATCATAAATGTCCTAAATGAAAAACAATGAAAGCCTCGTGACAACAGAAATCCATTTCCTCCTTGACGTTTAGGCTGCCGATGCTCTGCAGGTAACATCATTAATAGTCTCAAATGCTATTTAAGTAAGGCTGATTCATCCTAGATCCTAAGTCATTTATGACAAAGTAAATAATGCTCCTATTTTTATGCCATGATCCCAAAACAGCCTGATATGCTTGTCATCTTTAGTATGCCAGTTTTAAGATCTTCATTACATGTGACTTTATTTCATTAAAACATGTACAATATCTGCATCTCCTATTTCTTATTTGTGGAATCAATACTTTTCTTTCTAATGTTTTCTAAAAGTTTTAGTTTTGCACATTTAAACTGTAT